AGAGAGAGAGAGAGAGAGAGAGAGAGAGAGAGAGAGAGAGAGAGAGAACAACATGTGGGCAGTGCAGTTGTGGGCGAGCCGTGGTCAGGAAACAACTTCATGAGGTGGTTCACCTTGCATCTTGCGGAGGCAGGCTCTCTCCTGTTTCTGCTGCAGCATACTGTATGCACTCAAGGCTAGCTGGCCTACAAGCTTCTGGGAGAGTCTCTCTCTGCTTCCCATTGTCAACAGGAGTGCTGAAATTACAGCGGCCCTCCACCACATCTCACTTGGTATGCACGTTTGGAGGACTGAATTCAGGTTGTCAGGCTTTCAAGGCCAGTGCTTTTTACCTGCTGAGACATCCCCTGCCCTTTGACTAGGTTTTTGAGGAAAACGCAGGCTTTCTCCTTAGCTTTCACAAAGACCTGCAATTTAAAATGAATTAAGAGTTCTGGGCTGGGAAGACAGCTCAAAGGGTAAAAGCATTTGCTGCCCAAACCTGACAACTTGAGTTTGAGCCCTGGATTCCATGGTACAAAGAGCAAACCAACTTCTGAAAGCTGTCCTCTGATGCTGTGGCATGTATGCATGCATGCACTAGTAACATATGCAAACACACACACACACACACACACACATAAAAAATTTTTTTTAAAGAATTCTGCTTTACCCCAGCCATGGTGGCAAGGGCTTACAATCTCAGCTTCTTGGAGATGGAGGCAGGAGGATCCCAAGCTCAAGGCTATCCTGGACAACTTAGTAAGACTTGTATCAAGCTTAAAAAAACAGTCTCCGATACCTAAAACTGTCTCATTTCTAGGACGATGGCTTTGTTAGGTCTTAGTGATCTATAGCCACACCCTTCTCCGATTCTTCTAACACATAGGCTCCCCTCTGCCAAATGACCTTCTAAGATAAATCTCAAGGAGCCTCCCTCCCCTTGAGGCTCTTCCTTCCTCCGATGCTCCCCCCTCCCCCTGCTAGACTCCAGCTGCTTCTCATCTACACTGTCCTCTATCAAGACGATAGGTCTTCTCATAGCTGATGTCTCCAAGTCGCCTACCTCACCCCACTTCTGCTCTGCTTTGTCTAATGAGCAAGTGGAGCCTGGTACCACTCCCCTTGTCCCCCCACAAAAGTGGCACCAGGAAATAATGCAGGGTCCAGAGAGACTATATTTAGCCCAAAAGTGAATGACAAAGAGCCCTGCTTCCTCGCTGTCCCTTCCAGGGGAAATGCCCAGCCCAGCTTCTGGGGAAGGGAATGTGTGTCTCCCTCTGCTTTCCCAGAGCATCAGAAGTAACGCTCAACGCATCAAATCCATTACAACCGGCTATCTTCCTTCCCTGAGCTGAGTCCAGTACCTACAAGTCTTTACAAAGGTCCAGCATCCCAACTCTACATTTTGACCATTGCCCCTCAAGACTGTAAAGGGTCTTGAGGATGGTTCTCAGTATACCCTCCCCTGCTTCTGTTCCAGCTCTTCTCATTCCCAATCTCTTTTTGGTGTTTGTTTTGAGACAGAAATTTTCTGTGTCCTAGGCTGCCCTGGAATTCACTCTGCAGTCCATGCTGGCCTCAGCTCACATCAGGCCTCTTGCTGCAGCCTCCCAAGTGTTGGGATCACAGCACGCACCACCATGCCCAGCTCCTCCTAATATTGTACATGGATTGGGAATGCTCTAAATTGTATGACTTTGGGATGGGTATGTCCATTCTCATTCTAAGAGTCTGGATTGAGCTTTACCAGAGCCATATGAATATGGTGAAGTCTACCCTTTGCCTGTCACACACATATTACCATCTGCATAATCAAGAAGGACTTAGTACTCATTGTCTTCAGTTAGCTTCCCACCACCCCAGGAAAAGGACTCTCCAAGTGTGGGAGGGAGGGTACTGCTTAAGGATCATACATTCAAGAACATGATACACAAAGTCCTTCAACATACTTTCCCTTGGTTCTTCCAAGATCGCAGCGTTCTGATAACATTCCTGGCTTGAGCATCAGTGATAACACAGCAGAGTAAGGAATAGAAATTGAGAAATCAGGCCAGGGAAGATATTAGTGAGATCAGAGATGACAAGCAACTATCCAAAGGGCATATCACAACTAGTTGCAATTCAGGGTGTGTCTGTATGTGAATATTTTATTGAGAGTCAAACCCCCAGTCTCTCCATAATAGGCACGCACTCTACAACATCCCTGGTCCTCTTTCATTCATTCATTAATTTTTGAGACAGGGTCTCATTATGCAGCCCTAGATGCCCTAGAGTTTGTTATATAGATCAAGCTAATCTGAAACTAACAGGGATTAACTTGCTTCTGCCTCTCAAATGCTGAGATTAAGGATAGAAGACATTCATTACTCCTGGCTCTTTCTTTTATTTTGAGACAGGGTCTCACTAAGTTGCCCAGGCTGGCCTTGAATTTACAATCTTCCTTCGTCAGATTCCCAAGTACCTGGGATCATGCCTACTCCACCAGGCTCAGCCAGAATTGTCTGCTTCTTGCCATTACATAGTTACCCCTTTGAGGACTGACCCCCAACATGACACCATCATTGTAGCTTTGGTGCCTCCCTTAGTACCAAGCAGCACTGAGTAAATACATCTTAAATTACCCAGGAGGACACAGAGTTCTTCCTAAATCCTGTTCTATGGAAGCTACCAAAGTGGGTTTAACCATTGCCTGGCATGTTAGCCAATATCTAACCTTACCTGCCATACTTCTCAGTGAGATCAGTTAGCTCAGAGCATTAAATAAAGAATATGAGAAAATGAAAAAGGGCTAACAGTGATGGCACAATTTGCCTTTAATTACAGCAGGTGGATCTCTGTGAGTTCGAGTCCAGCCTAGTCTACAGAGTGACTTCCAGAACAGCTAGGGCTACATAGAGAAACCCTGTCTTGAAAAAACAAACAAACAAAATAATAACCAAAAGTTCTTTCAAATGACTCCTACTTGGCTGGACCCTGAGCCCTGGGGCTTCAAGCTTGCTGGTTGCTCTGCTGGGACAAGGGCCCCAGGAATCTCTAAGTTTCCTGGCCCTTATCTGGAAGTGTATCTTTCCAGAGTTGTAGGACATCCCTGACCACTTTGCTCACTCAGGTAAGAAAGGTTTCAGCCCACGGCTGAGTACCTTACAAGATGGGGACCGCTAAGGACTGGAAGCACGTGTATAACAACTCTAGCTAGGTGGAGTGGGTCTTAGAAATGCCAGCTAAATGAATGACTGAACCAAAGAAAGCCTGGGGTGTTATCATTAGCACCACCGTAGTAGTGGTACAGATAATACCACTGCTAACACAGATGATGATGATGAGATGGGGTGACCTTGAATCTTAGGAGTATCTGATATGAGGGAGAGTCACTGTGCTGGTTCAGCGTAGCTGTGTGTGGTGCCATTTGGTGAAGTTGTGATCCTTGGCACGTGGATATAGACTCTAGGCCTCAGGGGCCACCAGAGGACATGGGCATTGCAGCCCCTCCTGGTACCCTGGCATAAGACACGGGAACTTACCAGCAAGTGCTTTTCCTCAAACTTGGCAACCTTGAGCTTTCCCTGGTCCTGGTTTTCCTGGATGGCCTCCTGTATGCACTCATTGAAAGTGTCTAACTCTAGCTTTCTCTTTTCTTGCTGATTCAGGCCATATTCGAAAATGTTCAGGCAGATGATGACAAATTTGTCCTTGTAGGTAAGTGGCTGTTAAGGAAGCTTGGGGCTCAAGGTCAGGCTACTAAGATAATGACAAACATGATGACAATTGCTTGCAGAACACACCATGGAGACACTGTGGAGGCTACAGGTGGTCTCTTAGACAGAAGAAGAAACTGAGGAGCCACGAAACTAGGGTTTGCAGTTTGGAGCATTGGTGGTCATAGCATCTATATCTGTAGCCTAAGAAATTCAGGAACAGCGTAAAGGCCCTAGAAGAGACTTCCAGAGAACTTGGGGTGTAGGGAAGAGCTAGAAGCAGCCTGGCTAGGGCAATGAGTTAGAGTACTTTTATTTTTTCTGTCTCTGATGTGGCATCCAGAAGGGCCCTCCTGGGAGGGGCCTGGCTTGTGGCTCATCTGAGCTGAGAGAGGAACTAGGTGGTCTAGGTTCAAGTTATGGCTCTGATGCTGCTTCTGCGACTCACCTTAGCAAGTGACCTCTCTGACCCTCAGTGCCCTTACCTCAACTAAGAGCAGGGAGGAAGCCACCACAAAGAGTCCTTTGGAGAATGGGTGTGGTGACATATACTGTTAATTCCAGAATTCATGGGGTAGAGGTAGGGGACCTCTGTGAGTAAGTTCCAAGCTAGCTAGGGCTGAAACAGTGAGACTTTGTCTCAAACAAAAAAAACAAAACAAAACTAAAAGCATGTCCTTGGAAAGAGTCCTAGGGCTCAGGCAGGCAAAGCCCATAGGATCTTGAGGATCTTGTGGGAATGTGTTCAGGAGATGGGATGCTTTTCACACAAATTCCTCAGCTTCACAGTGCTTATGTCAAGAGCATAGGTCCCTGAGGAAGAGAGGTGGCCAGCAAGGAGAAGCCCTGTCTCACTCTCCTTGCAGTGTTTGGGTTCTGGGTAGATACCCACTGAGAAAGTCTCAGTGCAGCCTCTGAGGTCTGGGCTCTGCCTTTAGGAGCTCACCAAAGCTGGCCAAGGAGCTGGGAGGGCTATGGATGGAGGCTCTAACACAGGAGCTGTGTATGGCAGGAGCCATCACAGGGTCAGCCAGTCAGGAAAAGGACCTGTGAGACAGGAAAAGGACCAGCTGTACCTCATGACTGCTGCTGGCATCGTGATCTTACACAATGCAGTAACCGTCCATTGCTGGGGAATCCTCATCTTTCCCAAACTGCATTTCTAGTTTCACAGCTTATTCCCAAATAACAGTTCCTTTATTAGAGATTCATCTTTGTATTCTTTCTAGACGCTGACACTGGTGTTGGCAGCCCCACAGACCAATCTGGGACTGGCTGTCTCAATTATCAGCCCCCAGGTACAATCCACCCCCCATCCCCACCCATCTCCTGCTTACCACTGAAGCACATGGTTTGGTTGTCATGACCACTGCCACTATGTATCACAAGTACTGACTATTTTCTCCTCAGCCTCTGACCAACTAGGGGACAAATGCAAGCTCTTAGGCCCCAGGGATGAATGATCCTGTACAAATTGCTTAACCTCTGGGGTTACTAATGGCAACTACCTGGTGGGGGTGCTTAAGGGGATGTGGACCAAGATAATGTAGCCAGTGAAGATGCCTGACATAGAAACACATTCTCTACTTCCACCTCAGAAAACCCAGCTAGCCAGGAATGGTAGACTGAGCCAGCAGCTGTGACTCAGTGTGCCTTCAGAAATCTAGACAGCGCTGTTCCACAAAGCCCAACTAGCCTGACTGAAAAGGCCTTTTACATACATGTAGCCAGCAGAGATTTAACTATGAGGTCTCACATGAATGATGAGGTACAGAGTAGGAAGAACTTGCCCAAGATAAGCTGGAGGTATTGAGCCAGGCCTGCCCCCAAAGAGGCAGCTGTGTGACTCAGAAAGGATATGCTTCAAGGAGCTCACCAACACCAGGCAGGTGGGACAGCTTGTTGCCCTCGATATCCTCGGAATACATGCTGTCAAACAGGAAGGGGCCATTCAGGTGCTCAACAAACGCCATCTGTGGATTCAAATAGCCAGACATGATGATCCAGAGCCAGGCTTCTGTGAGGGTTGAGGTCGTCAAGGATTCTTCAGGGGGACCTTGCACCCGAGCTACAATCCTCTCTCCCAGGAACGCAAGTGTGTGGGTGCTCCAGGCACAGAGGGGATATGCAGAGAAGTGCAGAAGATACAGATACAGGTTGTTTTCAAGAAGTGGCCTGCAGCTCTGTGTAGCTCCATAGCAGGCTAGGGTTGGTAGGAGGGAGGCCAGCGAGGCATGGCCACAAATTGAGGACCACAGAGAACTGAAGGTCAAACTGTTACTGCACAGGATGGGAACACAGCTTGAGGGTCCTAAGTAAAGGAGCCGCTGGAACCAAGTGTTTTGAGGACAATCTCTAGGCACACGGGTATGGAATGGGGACTGGGCTGAAATGGAGCAGCTTCTGGAGACTGTGATTGGGGCTGAGCAAGGCAGGGAGTGGTGTCAGCTCCTGTGGCTGCTTTGTAAGTTTTAGGATCCTAGAATCCTTGTGGATCATCGTTTAATGTGACCAAAGCACTCCATGGTACTTTTGTGTCCAGGCCAGGCCAGGCTAGGCCAGCTGTCTGTGTGGTACCTTGTGTTCTGCCAGCTTCTCCTGCTTGGCCTGCTCCTCCTCCAGTTTGAGCTGCATCTGTGCCTCCCGGTGCTTCAGCTCGTCAATGCTGTACTGATGTTTCATCTTCGCCATCTCTCTCTTACCCAGGAACAGGAATGGTACGGTTACCAGAGGATAACTAGTCCCCCCAGCCACACAGCCTTGGGCCCCCTAAATATGGCCGATGTGTTGGAGGGTATGTTTTGTAAAACTTTGGAAAGGCAGAGGCCCTGGAGATGAGAATGCCTAATTATTCCCAGGCAATCTAAGCCTAGAGGAATCAAGGAACTCGAAGTGCCCCAAGGGCCTACCCGGAAGCAGCCTGAATGTGCCCCTTGCATGCAGTAGGAAGCAGTAAGGGGCCGCCCCTTCCTGAGTTGTACAGCATCAGTGTAAGATCAGGGAGTGCAGTTGTGGGGAGGTCTAGTGCTTGTTTGGCAGAGTTCAGCTTTCCTGAAGTTTTACTCATTCTTTATTTTGAATCACAGAAGGACACATAGGCTGTGTGTGCTACTGTCCTTGACAGGAGTTTCTGAGTATTCAGGAGACCATATCTGAGAATGGGTCTTGGCACTGCAGATGCTAGGCTGACCTGTGATTTTTTTTTCCAGTGTTGGGAATATAGTGAAAGACCTCACGTATGCCAGGGTGAGTGCTAGGCTCCAAACCACATCCCTAGCCTCTGCCCTGTGCTTTTTAAAGGGCATAATATACCCAAGCTTTTGAGCCCATGTTGTGTTTCAAATTAACACCTAAACTCAGCTCCTTAAGCTAAGGGTTGCAGTCCAATATTGGATGGAGTAACTGAATGTGGCGAACACACACACAGACACACAGACACACAGACACACACACACTTGACAATTAAAGCTTTCTGAACATACGATGACCAAAATTTCATTTAAAATCAAATGTATAATGAACCCCAGATGTTTCTTGGCTTTGCTTGATCATGCTGCACTGTATGACTTCACTCTAGCCTTGGTTCTGAGTAGAAAACACGCACACAACTGTCATCTACCATACCCTGTGTGCACACGACTGTCATCTACCATACCCTGTGTGCACACGACTGTCATCTACCATACTCTCTGTGCACAGGACTGTCACCTGCCATGCTGCCAGATACCCCCCTACCCCGCTCAGACTTGAAATAGTGGGGTTTTTTTGTACATACGAAGTTTCCTGCTGTTATAGAAACATAATTATTTAATTTCAGAAAACAAAGACTTTAAATATTTTCCTACCATCGTTCTTTGGCATATAAGTACCATTGATGTAATTTTTGATTGTATTATGTTAGGATGTTTGGTTTTTAAAATGCTATTTGAGTTGCTGAAGAGTTCCATTAAATGAATTTTGACTTGGGATTAGGACAGAATCCCCCCAAACTTAAGACTTTATTATTATTGTATATATATAATGATGTATATGTGTCTGCAGGAGCATGCACCACGGGCAAATGTAAGTGCTTTCTTTCCTTCCAGCCTTATGTAGGCTCTGGGCTTGAGCTCAAGTCTGCAGGCTTATATAGCATTGGGCACATTGAACTATTTTGCTGAGTTCTCAACAATTTCTGAAATGGCTCTAAACATAATTCTGCCATTTTATACTATGTATTTATTTCACATAGTTCTTATCATTGAGAATTAGAAAAATCAAAATATTAATCAACTCTTAAAACTATTGAAGATTCTCTGCAACTTGAAGTTTAGCTATCTAGGCAAGATTTAATGTTTAGGACAGGATCTCTCTACATAGCTTTGGCTGGCCTCATGATACAGACTCATGATACAGATCAGGCTGGTCTCAAACTCACGGATATCTGCCTGCTTCTGCCTCCTGAGTGCTTGGATTAAAGGCACCTGATCTTCATCTTTTTTTGTTTACATTTCATTTATTGTGTGTATGAACATTTTGCCTGTATGTATGCATGTGTACCATAAGTATACCTGGTGCCTGTGGAGTCAGCAGAGAGTGTCAGAGCCCCTGGAACTGGGAAAGAATCCAGGTATAGATGGTTATGAGCTGCCATGTGTGTGCTGGGAACCGAATCCAGGTCCTCTGCAAGAGCATGTGCTCTTAACCACTGAACCATTTCTCTAGCCCTGCCCCCAGTAATATTTAATTTAAAAAATTGAGATGTATTTATTTTTATTTTATGTGTATGGATGCCTGCATGTATGTCTGTAAAACCATATGCATGCAATGGCTGTGAAAGCCAGAAGAGGGTGTTGGATCCCCTTAAACTGGAGTTACATAGGGTTGTCAGCCACACTGTGCAGGGACAAACCTGGGTCATCTGGAAGAGCAGTCACTGCTCTTACCTGCTGAGCCATCGCTCTAGATTTACCAAGATTAAGTTTTTTATGTAAAAATAGACAATTACCTTCATCTTATTAGTATGTGAATGTGCTTTTGGTGTGTGTGTGTGTATGTGTGTGTTGGGGAGTATACATGGTACACGTGTGTGCATAGAGGCCAGAGGATAACATCAAGCTTGGTTCCTCAGGAGCCATCCACTTTGGTTTTTGAGGCAGGGGCTATCACTGGACTGGAGTTTGTCTAGTAGGCTAGACTGGCTGACTTCCAGGGCTCCTCCTGCCTCTGCCTCCCTGTAATTTTTTACCATAATATTTCATTCATTTTCTGTGCCCCTACTCGTGCATGTGTGTGTGTGTGTGTGTGTGTGTGCCACACACACACAAGCATCACAACATATGAGTGATCAGAGGACAACTTGTGGAAGTCAGTTCTCTCTGTCCACCATGTGTGTCCTGGGAATTGGATGTAGATGCCTTTACTGACTTAGACATCTTCCTGGACCACACCTGACTTTTTAAAAGATTTTATTTATTTTTAGTTTATATGTATGAGTGTTTTGGTTGAATGATGTCTGTGTATCACTGTATCACGTGCATGCAGTGCACACTGAGGTCAGAAGAGGAACTTGGATTCCTCTAGGGTAGGGTTACAGGGGATTGTGGAACACCCCATGGGTGCTACGAATTGAATCAAGTCTTCTGGGAGAACAGCCAATGCTCATAACCACTGAACCATCTCTCCAGCACCTCACACTTGGCTTTTGAATGTTGTTTCTGGAGATCAAACATGTAGCAAGCACTTGGCCTGAGTGAGCACTAAGCTATTGCCTTTAATAAAAGGTAAGATTTTATGTGTACCAAGGAATTGTTTTAAAATAAATTTCTTTATGATTTATTACCAATAACTGTTTCATCGGCATGCCTATTTATCCACAGTCATGTACGTTTTCTCAGGCAAAAAGGGTTTACAAGAGGAAAACAGTGTAAGAACCTGCTCTGAGGACAGGATCAGGTTCAAAGGTGGTGCTTGTTTGCTTGGTTGGTCTTTAGTTTTTTGATATGACGTTAGAGTAGCTGAGGATGGCCTGAATCTAGCTCAGGTTGCCTCAAACTATTGATCCTCCTGCCTCAGTCTCTTAAGTTCTGAGGTTACAGGAGTGTACCACCATAACTATTGGATTTAAAAATCTCAGAATTAAGGCTGGAGGGATGGCTCAGTGGTTAAGAGCACCGACTACTCTTAAAGAGGTCCTGAGTTCAATTCCCAGCAACCACATAGTGGCTCACAACCATCTGTAATGAGATCTGATGCCCTCTTTTGGTGTGTCTGAATACAGCTACAGTGTACTCATATACATAAAATAAGTAAATAATTCTCAGAATTAAACATCTCAGAGCCAGCTGTAATCCCAGCACTTGGAAAACTGAGGCAGAAGAACCAGGAGGTCAAGGTTATTCTTGGCTGTATAGTTCAAGACCAGCCTGGATTGCATTAGACTGTGGTCTTACCCACCTATACACACACACATATCCAAAAAACAAGAGAAATACTCAGATTCATACTGTCACAGGGAAGCCCACTGTCAGCGGGGACTTTGGAAACCAGCTTGCCCCTTAGGGCAGGGCTCTCTGTATAGGCTGCAGAGGGTCAGGGAAGACACTAGGGCTATACCTCCACTGTCCAGATAGCCTTTCCTGGGTACCCCCTGGATCCGTCAATGTGTCAAATATAGGTTCCTATTTATTAGCAAAGGCACCAGCTTCCTGTGAGAGGAGCCAGGCAGCTCTACAGCCTTTGTGTTTCTAGACACAAACACAGAAAGACTTTCTAGTCCTAAAGGCCTCACACATTGTATGCACAGAGGGAGCAGCAGGAGATAGGGACTCACTTATGGCAAGGGAGAGGGGATGGAGGCAGGAAGTAGTAGAGAAACACATACACACACACACACACACACAAGCTGGCCCTGCATGGGACTGAAAGACCAACTTCCAGGAGCCAACCCCAGATTAACTGTAACTGACTGGGAGATTGGAGGTGAGTTGCTTCCCTTGGTTGCCAGTTTATGTGTACTTCCAGAAAGATGTGGATGAGGCAGGGGCAGGGGGCCCTCCCAGCTTACAGTGACAGCCCTCAGGGAATTGCAATGGAATTGCTCCTAGGCTCATACAAGCTTGGGGTAAGCCAGGCCCTGCCACCAGCTCATGATCATGACAATTTACTGTTCACCTTCTTTCACTCTCTCCTAGAGTCTTCACCAGGAAAAAAGACAATAGCATAGAAGAGGCCTAGGCCTGGAAACCTATAGAAAACAAGCCTTGGGAAGCCACCGCTGGAGTGGCTGTGCACAGGAGGGGAAATGAATGGCTCAGCCAGGAGAACCTGTTCTCTTAGACACGGATAGGGAGAACTTCTCACTGTCTCATGATTCCCACTGCGAACAGAGCCAGGATGCTTACCGCCTGCTCATCAATGCGCCGGAAGTCCAGGTACACGAGGTCAGGAAGATAGGCATAAATGAACATCTTGTATTCCTCTGCCTCAGAAATGGGATTCCCAGAGAGACTGAGTGTTCGCAGACATGGGAACCGGCGCAGGTAGATGATCTGGGGAGCAGGAAGCAGACATGATTTCCTTGCTGCCACAGACCTGGAGCCACACACAGCGCCTGTTCCCCTCTGCACCCTTCCCGAGTCCACAGCCTGGCCAGGGCGCCTTCCATATAGACAGCTGAGAGTTTGTGGCTTCTGAGCCAGACTTCAGTCCTGAGAGTAGCCACAAGCTTTGAGAAGAATCTGGAGTACTCAAATCCTAGCTGTGGGATTTAGGTTAGATGATTGGTCTAGTGTATGAGCCTTGACTTTCTCCTCTATAAAAATGGGCAGAATGACATGGTGTCATGAAGGCTAAATAAAATAAGCTATGAAAAGCAGTCAGCAGCATGCACAGCAGCCTCTGGATAAGTGGCACTTAGAATAGGCAGTAGAACCACATGAAGGTCCCAAGTCTCCTGTTAAATGGAGCTGGATTGCTGGCTCGCCTTTCATGCACTGGACAACAGCAAGCAAAGCATCTCACTGGGTGCCATTTATTCTTCCTATGCTTCGGCTTTAGTAAAATGGGGAAATCAACCTTTTGGCTAGTGCTTGCATGACAGCATCACTGGAACGCAGACACTGCAGTGTGCGCTAGACAGGAAGGGTTTCTCATGACCTGTGCAGCAGCTCCTGCCTCCAGATCCCTGCCTTGAGTACCTGCCCTGATTTCCTTTGATGATGGACTATGATGTGGAAGTGTAAGCAACTTTCTCCCTCAGTTGCTTTTGGTCATGGTGTTTTATTATACCAGTAGAAACCCTCACTAAGCCGGGCGGTGGTGGCGCACGCCTTTAATCCCAGCACTTGGGAGGCAGAGGCAGGAGGATTTCTGAGTTCGAGGCCAGCCTGGTCTACAGAGTGAGTTCCAGGACAGCCCGGGCTACACAGAGAAACCCTGTCTCGAAAAACCAAAAAAAAAAAAAAAAAAAAAAAAAAAGAAACCCTCACTAAGACAACATCCATGGCAGAGCAGGGAAGATGCACAGTCCAAGAACCCAAAGGCCTTGAGGCGGCAGCAGAGGGCTTGGCACAGCCACCACCAGGACTCAGCCGAGGTAGCTGCAGAGCAGTGTAGAGGAGACAGGTAGAAGGACATGAGCTACATGGGGAGAGGCTGGTTCCTGGAAGATCACATAGGCTTTCAGCAAGAATTTAAACTTGTTCTAGGAACAGCAAAAGCCACTAGAGTCTTGTTTATGGAGGAAAGCAGTATTTGGTTTATTTTCTAAAATATTTTTTTCAAGAGCCCCCTTTACTTCTTTTAGCCACAGAGAGAAAATGTTGCTGATGAAATGTGTTGTAGCAGGTGAGAGTGAGCAGGCTGCCCCTTCACTGCATGAGGGGTGGGGGTGGGGTGGGGTGGGTCTGTACACAGCCTCGGCTCACAAGAGAAGTTGACAAAGATGCACAATGCCCTGTGATCTAGCATCCCCACCCAGGAGTTTACTTACAGATGGGCTGGTGCAGATGTAGAGAGCCCTGATCTATTGCATCCTGCTCATGGACACGTGCTATGCCCTGCATGCAGTGCACCATCTGGAAACAATCTTGACTGCTACCTTAAAGAACTAGGTCACATGATGGAGGGATCCAGCAGAGGAGTGGATCCCTCTCTGCTATGTCAAGAAACATGCCAAGTGCTGACTGAAGAAGAGAGGGCTCAGTTGAAGGCAGGTACATGGAGGACAGCTGAACCAACATGACAGTCACACATGCTTAAAAACTGGATGCTTGGAGGGATACTCATGGACTTAGTAGAAGCCTACGGTTTGGGAAGAGAAAGTAAAAGTGAGGCTCTGTGCTGAGTTAGGATTACTTTTCTGTGTTTTTAGTGCAATCAGTAAGCCTAACAAATAAATAAATCACGAAACAACAGGCAGTTAGATGCCAAATAAATAGGAAAGACTAAGAGCTAAGATACTTAGCTTTGAGGCCAATGCCTAAGGGGTGTCAGGCAGGCTTCTCTGGGTCAAGTCACGAAGAGGAATACTACCTGTTTAGATGAAGAGGATCCATGGTCCCTAAGGTCCCCAGAACCCAGCCAAGCCTGGGGACACCTGGCCTAGACACCTCAGGTCTCCTGCAGGCTCCTTTCCATGGGCTTTCTGTCTTTCTCTTTCTTTGGAGATAGGGTATATGCATCTGGAGTATTGGCAAAGAGCACCCCACTGGAGAGAGCAAGAAGGCTTCATCCTGCGCAGGTGCTGCAGGGCAGCATGGCAGAATATTAAAGGCTTTGGTTGGGAGTAGGGCATCCTGACGTAGCCTCTGTAACCTCTCTGGCCTCTTTTGTCCAGGCCTGGGGAAGGCCTCAGCTCTGTTAAATTTTCCAGTGTTCAAAGGATGAGATCTGGGGTGCAGGACATGCTCAGGCAGAAACTGATGCTAAATGTTCAACAACAGGGTCTGAAGCTGGACGTGTTAGGTCAGTGCTGTAGCATGGACCTTTTGTGTACACGTTCCTGGATTAGGTCCCTAACAGAGCTAAAACAGAAATGAATTTTTAAGAAGAGAAGAAGAAAATAAAGAAGATAGGATAAAAAAATAAAGATAACAAAAACAAAAGGGAGTTAGGCAATGGTGGTGCATGCCTTGATCCCAGCACTCAGGAGGAAAGGCAGGTGGAGCTCTGAGTTTGAGGCCAGCCTGGTCTATAGTATGAGTTCTGGGATAGCCAGGGCTATACAGAGAAAACTTGTCTAAAAAGAAAAAAAAGAAAGAAAGAAAAAGAAAGAAAGAAAGAAAGGAAGGAAGGAAGGAAGGAAGGAAGAAAGAAAAATAAAACAAACAAACAAAAACCAAAAGGGCTATTTGGTGTTAACTCAGAACCTGAAAATTTTTGAGTGACTATCATTTTCAGTGTACCTACTACGTGTCAGGTCCTGCATTAGGCATATAGTAGTGTAACTGATTTGGTCTTTACAACAACCCTGGGGTCTACTTTTAATCACATTTTATCAATGTGACACACACACAAAATTCTAAGTCACCGGTTCAATGTCAGGCAGCTAACACAGGCTGACTCTGCTAGTTACGCCTTCGCGGCCTTACCTGGCCCCTGCTGGCCAGCATGAGGATTCCTTATCTCACAGAGCAGAGGGCAGACTAGATAACTGGGACCTGAATTTGGAAAGGGTTCTGGTGAGTTTAAGTGCTCGGAACTGTTGCAGAGAGCAAACCTCTCAGACTATATGACCTCTGGGGTTTGGCCCTACCAGGTGGACTTCATACTAATAATAAATCAGTGATTGATTTACTTTGCTGTTCACTTAAGCTGCCCAGCTGGCCATGCTCACACATGACATGTCTGGGGTAGGAATAGAGCCTTCAATGGCCTTGCAGACTAAAGGGACACTGAGAGCGGAGAGGAGAGTTCTCCTTCTCTCTTTCCTATTATATATAAACAAGGAAGCTCTAAGGGATTAACAGCCATGAGGAAAGGCTAAGGATGGGGGAGCCTAGAGGTGTGAGGAATTTACACCCCTGAAGTCTTATTGATAAGCTCTCTTCTCTGCCATGCCATAAATCACTCCATAAGTGTCCTTGTTTGCAGCAGATGCTTCAGCCGGGACAGACTTTTCCTGGCAGCACTCCACCTTCTCATCTTCTGTGTCAGCAAGGTCTCCATGTCCCCAGAGTCCCACCCACAGGCTTCGAAGGAGCTAATCTGCAGGGAGTGACCCTCGCTGCTTGGGGACAGAATTGAAGGTCAGTGCCTTAGGTGGGCTCCAGCAATTAGGGAGTCACAGTTGGAAGGTGATCTGGATATTCTTGAGGCCCAGTAGAATCGAGTCCCCACCACCCATAGCAGCAATCTCTGCAGCACCCAACGCTGCCTTTCCCTCTCCCCACTAGATTACTTTAGTTTCCAGAAGTCACCTCCCAGGCAAATCACTTGCACCCAAGGCCCTGGCTGAGCTTTGCTTCCAGTTACTCCCACCCCACACCCCAGTTAACCATTCATGTGACCCCTCAAGTCTACTCTGACTGTGGTGCATTTCCTTCCCGCACACAGCTCTGTCCTGGACAGGCCAGAGCACAGAGTCTCCATGCTGACGCTTCTCTAGATGCTGCTGTCTGCAACTAGATCTCAGCTCCCAGGCTGCCCTTGGCTTCCATGCAGGCTTTCCCGGCGCCTCTCTAGCTTCTGCTCACATACCTGATACTAAGAAGCATCCTCCTCTAGCCGGATGGAAGGCACCCTTCTCTCTCTCTCTCTCTCTCTCTCTCTCTCTCTCTCTCTCTCTCTCTCTCTCCCTCCGCCGGGCTCCCCCTCCCTCTCCCTATCTCTCTCTCTCTCTCTCTCTCTCTCTCTCTCTCTCTCTCTCTCTCTCTCTCTCTCTCTCTCTCTTTCTGCCTCCCAAGTGCTCAAATTGAAGGCATGCACATGCACCACCACTGCCCAGCTGGTTCTCATATCTTTCAAGGCTCTAGAATCAGGTTGACTATCATCCCTGACCTTTCTTCTCTAAGCAAAGATATCAGCCACAACAGGCCTCTGCGTGTTAACAACCTGCTCCTAAGCTGAGCGCACACCTGTAATCCAGCATTCAGGTGGCAGAGGCTGTGTGGTTATGACTTTCAGGTTTACAGTGGGGTACCAGACAAGGGAGAAGGAGGGGGAGCAGGAGGAGGGAGGGGGAGGGAGGGGAGGAGAGAGGGGGAAGGAGGAGGGAAGGAGGAGAGAGGGAGCACGTTTTTGCTTATCACCTCCCCTAGAGAGCCTGGGCTGCTTGGTTACTGCCACCTATCTATTTGGCAGGTGAGAAAATGGAGACACGGAAACAGAAAGCTTGCACCTCACTAGGACTCACGTCTGACATGCAAAGTGAAGACTGTGTTGCCTCTAGGGTTTGGCTTTGATGAGCAGACTTAAATGTGGGCAATAACTTGGTGCCTTGACTCACTTCTGTTCACGTAAAGCCATTTGGTGCACAGTTAGGACTGAAGCCAGACCAACTGATTAATATATGTGGAAATGGAGTCTTGAGGGGTATTAGCTAGCCCTGGGCTGGTAGCTAAGCTGAAGAAGCTACAGGGTCACCTCTATCATAGCACTCAGTAATTATTAGCAGAGTCTCAGCTGTATCTCCCTACTGTGAGCCCACTGTGATACATGAGGGGCCACCTGCCTCCCATCAATGTCTGCTGTCATAAGACACATTTTGGTACCTAGACAGCCCTCCTAACAGTCACAGGGATTGCTTCACTGTTTTTGAGACTCTAACTTGGTGTCACATTCATCTAGATGATGAGGGCATGGCTGGTTACCCCAAAAAGGACCATATGTTGCCATCTCTGTCTCACAGAGCATAGAACAAACCCCCTACATCCAAGTAGGTTTGTCACATGAGCATGAGACTCAGAGCAAGTGTAGGCCACAGCTGAGGCCGTGAAGCCTGGTACCCATGGTTTTGTTGGACTAAGCATGGTCGTTCAATATATTCAAAGCCCTTGTGGACTAATTTGGATATTTGATCTTTCTAGGAAAAGGGCATACTGTGTGTCTACCACCACAGACCATGGTTTTGGCACAGCCCGAGGTCCTGTGGTATTTGTGGCATGGTCTCCAGGCCTGGTACTCACATTCATCATGTTGCTAATCTGATTGTTGCCCAGTGATAGCACCTGCAACTTCACCAGGGCATCTAGAGAGTCCATCTTGGTGATCCGGTTATTGGACAAGCTCAGGTCCTCTAGGTTGACCAAGGTATCCAGGCCCTCAATGGCCTCGATGTTGTTAAAGGACAAATCTGCAAAAGAGAAGGACTCTGAGGGGTCTGAAGATACACTGTTTGGTTAGAGGAGGTTGGTCCTGAAACAAAGCCATTGGTCTGCTTAGAGCCCTTGGGAGTGACACTTAGCTGAGGAGGTAGCTCACTGGGGATTCTAGGAGCATTAGATAGTCTCTTTCCTGAAGTCCCCTGTCATCTACCCAGTTCTGCCAGCTCCCTTCTGACTGGGAAGGCTTCTCAGCCCTGTCAATTCTGGGTTGAAAACACCAAGGAGTGGATCTAAAGTGGTGTTCTTGGGGGTCGGGGGTCAGGGGCAGAGTTGTGAGACAGCCTTTCCTTTATATATGTTTGTGAACATCCTAGCAAGTCTGTTTAGCATTTCCATCTTCCAACTAAGTGTTCCCTGCATGTTCTCTGACAATGCCTCCAGGTGATAATTTGGAATCTTTCTTTTCAATCAGTCAGGAAGTAGAAGCTTTAGGTTAGGAGGGTAGTTTGGCTAGTATTCAAATCTCCCTCTGGGTGAATAGGCAAACAGGTGCCCTTGTAAGACCCATGGCTTTACTCCAAGAGACAAGTTGGCCTGCTAGATTCTGAGTATTGGGTATTGCTCAGAACCTGGGCGGGCATGGGCAACTGTCCTGATGTTGAGCAACTGATTTCACTTCCTATAGTGACAGGTGATTCCTAGCCATGCAGATGGACCAGGAACCAGTGTTAATGAGTACTAGAGTACAACAAAGGGTGCCTGAGCAGGAGCCCTGGTCCCCACAGTTAGACTCGGCTCCATCTGCTTCTGCCACCCATAGGCCAGTCAGCCTCCGGGAGCCTCAGGGGCCTCTATGAAGTGTCCCTTAACCCATTAGTGGGTTACTGTGGCTCCTGATAACAGCGCAAACACATCTGAGAGTGCTCTGCAGACTGAGAGCTATATTGATGGTGACTCCTGGAAGTCTGGGAAAATGGAGGAGCATGTGCTTTTTGGATGAGACATGGGTGGGGTTAGCCTAGTGCTGCTGCTTGGCTGTGCTTCTCTGAGCCTTACCTCCCTTCCCATCGACTTGGATAGCAACAGCCATTGAACATCTCTGTGGAGGCCAAATAAGACATCTCAGAGGAGCACTCAGCTTGACCTCTTTTGTCCTTTAGATGTTCTCTTGTCCCTCACTAGACAGGGAAGCACCTAAGAGGCCAAGCTCCCAGTGACCTTGGCAGAGAGGTCAAAGTTCTAGAATCAGATAGAGATTGACAAGGGAAGCTGTGGCCCTTACTTAACTTGTTGTCACCACCTTGGCTTGTTCACTGCTATGGTGGGGATGGTGTGTGAAACCAGAAAACTCATGTGAAGCATGGGCAGACCACAATCAGCACATGGCTATGGTCTGTGCTCATTGTAACGGCCAGCTGTCCACCCGTGCCGGTGTAAAATGCTGGACCAGGCTGCCTCTGTGCCCACCAGCCTGAGAGGCTGGCAGGTGGGATGGAATAGTCTGTCTGGTATACAGAAGCACATCCTTGTCATACTTTGCCCAGCATAAGCCCCAGGCTTTTAACAGACTGTCACTTTCTTGCTCCTAACCGACAGAGCATTTCTGCTGTGCCTGGGCTAAGAACAGGCTAGTGGCTGACTGTCACAGCAATTATTCTGCAGGGAGGTGATGGATGTCCTTGGCGGTGGGCCATGTTTAACAAAAGCAGACACAGGCAGGCCTTACCCAGCCAGACCAGGTGTGTGAGGTTTTCCAGACCCTCGATCCGCTCAATGATGTTGTTGTTCAGCTGTAGCTTCTGCAGGTTCTCAAACTGCCAGAGGTTATCTATTCGGAGGATATCTGAAACAACCAGAGTGCCCAGATGTGACCGAGGCTGGAAGACTGAAGTGTACTCATGCGGGGCTCCGCAACTCATGCCTTCCCCAGAGTACTGAGGGGAGGAGCACCTGAGTGTGAGACCACCAGCACTGTTATCCAGGGCCACTGGGAAGGACCAAAGAGGTCTGGTGTGGCAGAGGCTTGCTAAGCAGGAATCTGTGGAGTTGAGTTGGGCCTTCTCAGGGCAGGAGACTCACTCACACTGCCCCAGGGGCAGGGCTGGAGCTCTTAAGGAAACAGGTCTACCTTGGAACACAGACTACAAGCAGAGGCCAGCATGGGGGGAGGGTCACTCAACTGATTTTACTTTGGAGGGTCATTGGGTAACATTTATTGGAATATTTACCATCTTTGCCTTTTGACCTGCAATTTTCTTTCTTTCTTTCTTTCTTTCTTTCTTTCTTTCTTTCTTTCTTTCTTTCTTTCTTTCTTGCTC